AATGAAGTCCGTTGAAGAAGGATGTAAGAATATGGGTTATCATATAAAATTAAACCAATCCATCTGGGATTTATAAAAATGGCTAATCACTGCTTTGAATTCAATGCTATAACCGTGACGTTTTTCACGCGTTACGATTGTCACAGTTTCGCACAATATCAGTTCATAGATGAGGTAATGCTTCTTATTTCGAAAATCTTTTTATGTTATGATGGAGTGGACATATTGTTTTCTTGAAAATTGCCCCATTTCCAACAAGACTACTGTCAATATATGAGTAAGATCATGGTCGTTTTTCACAAGCAAAACGATGATTTTTCAGAATTTTTCAGATCATGCTCATTATTATTCAATCACAACTATTATCACTATTTGTAACACGATGGTCTGATAAACTGAACTAAAGACTTGATATCCATGGATGATTTATTAATCTAGAGTTTCCCTCCTGCCGTCTGGGCCTGTTTTAACGACCGTGACGTTTTTCACAGAATACATTTTACACTTACTATAATGGGTCATTCTGATACCCATAGTATCTTTCTGTTTCACCTGAAACATGCTCTGATATTATGAGGCATATTCTGTGATCTGAGCACATTAGATGGGTAGAGTTATAACTGTCAAAAGTGTGATTGTTATCAAGTAACCATCTACCTTAATGTCAATACATTACATAATAGGCATTGTATTAACAGCAGATATTACAACAGGCACAGTAACACAAGTTTTATGACCCCAATTAGATGAAATATGAGCTGGGATGAAAGATCTCAAAAATCCTCAATTTTGGGCTCTCCTGGATCGCCAAAGCAAGCTCATTAAATCATATCTCAGGGCTGAGAAGATTTGAGATGTCATGGTTTATCATGATGATAATGGGTATATATAATAGGTTGTAGGTGAGAAGCAAATACACCGGCTGCTGTCATCACACACTCTGACTGAATGTTTTCTATGCCAACAGAACCAAAATGAAAAGATGTGACCATTTATAACTGAGATATGACATGTTTTCATGGGCGTGTTGTCCAGTTACATCAACAAATTCACAAAATTTACAACTTATTCGCGAGTTATACAATTTATTTACAACCGGAATGATCAATAAGTATGCTGACCGAATTAAGATAAAGGCATTTTATTTTAAAATACATAAAACAATGAGAATAAATCATTTTAGTTTTAGCTATTTTCAATTACATGAAAAATACCCATTTTTAACATTTATTGGTTTTGAATGTAATACGAGCTACGCGGTTCAAAATTTGTTATATGAATGCTGGAATTTCCAGAGAATGGGAAAGCGGGTCTGTGGGGTAGGCCTACTTTGGGAAGGGGAAATTCATCTCTCTAATAGGATACAGAGTGTAGAAAAAACCGGGTACCGGGTACCGGGTAGTGAATCCTCTATGCTGGGTTCAAACTTGGTACCCGGTCGAAAAAACCGGGTAACCCCAAAACGGGTATGTAAAAACCTACGTTTCTTTGCAGTAGACTAGAACAGGAATAAAGCTTGCAATCCTTTTATTAACGTCATCAGCACACGACACAACATCAGCACGACATCATCACTTCAAACACACAAAGTACATTCAGGGGCGTAGCCATCTTTCAATCAGGGGGGTGTGTGATCGTGGCATAAGCAACGACTAAGATTTGTTTTGAATTTACAAAAATGTATGTAACCATGGACTTCTGTTATTTGAAGTCCATGATGTAACCTCCTTCAAAATTGAGCTAGAAGCTTAAAATAAAAAGCATTTCAAGGCTCTCTCCTTCCTCATCACCATCGCAGACCCTGTGGCTTCGCCTATGACATTGTAAGACGTAACAATTTACACTTCAGTGGACGCTTCGTCGAAAATTGGGATAACTTAAATTATGATTAATAATCAAAATCTTACACGTTGCATCATGTAAGTTAACACACGTCACCTCTCTGCTAAAGTAACGATAGCTATTTACAGATTTAAATCAATCAAAACAATTCATGTACCAACATACGGACTATTGAAAATAGCGTGAGAAGTTGATTTGTCATGTTTTTCAAATATTGCTTGTTATATTCATGTCAAAAAACTGGGTGAAAACGACAGAGGCTTTCTAATGATATTTAACTTAATATGTTATATATTCGTATTTTTCATTTTTTGGGTACCCGTTTTTTTTCGACCGGGTATCGGGTACCAAGTTTGAACCCAGCATTGAGGATTTACTACCCGGTACCCGGTTTTTTCTACAAACCCGTAACAATAATGTAGATTGTTTTCCCTTCAATACATGGCCCCGTCCATCCTTTATTCTGGGTGGGCCACCAATTCTCTGGCCCCGTCCATCCTTTATTCTACTTCCCACTTACCAGTCGAGTCTCTAGCAAATTACCGGAATTTCCAAGGGGCTTGGAAGAAGATAACTCTCCCACCACTTCTGGCTGTCTGGGATTAGACATATGAAGTAAGACTGATCTTGGAATAAAATCAAATAAAATGGTTTAGTATTCTATGACTGTGGCACGAACCCCCAACCCCCGGGCCCCAACCTAGCATACCTCACTTCCCGGGCCTCACTTACGAATCAGCAAAGGGGTAAAGGTTGGGGTAAAGCAGTTCTGTCAACCCCCAAAGATTTTCTCGCGGGACAGATTTTTTAGACCCAGTGCCAAAAATTCGCGGGTTTTTGCGGGACATCCACCTAAATTCGCGGGATTTCGCGGGACATTTAAGGGATTTGCGTGATTGCGCTAAAAGGTCAAATTTTGATCAAATTCGCGGGATTTCGCGGGACCATTCGAGGGACAAACACGCTACTTGCGGGACAGTTAACAGGGTAACCACCAAAGACTTCATAGAGGGATAATTTTTTAGACAAAGTGCCCTAAATTCGCGGGATTTTGCGGGACATCCACCTTTTGCGGGATGTCGCAGGACATTCGAGGGAATTGTAATGTAAAAGTACTCTTGAATCAAACTTTCAGATACTGATTTATCAAATATAATGCACTTAACTTAAGTAAACGTCAACACAATTCCACACAATTCCACACAATACGCATTATTATTATTAAACTATCAAAAAACCACGCTTTAGGTGTGAGTACCGTAATCCGACACGAAATTCAAAAATTCTTGTGAATACTTTGCACTTATGGCGTTCGTGACCAACTATGAAACATTTACCCCCATAGTGTTATATATCAAAATGTACCTATTCATATAGGGGTTCGATTATTCTACATCAAATTATAAGGAGTCAGGTTTCTTTTCGAGATATCAGTGTCCATTTATTGGAACTCGCGTTTGCTAACATTTGTTCAGTTCTGAGATGAAGGCCGTGACACGCGTAGTAAAAAGGCCAATGTTGGAACTAATCGTGACATACATCCCTATTTCCGTAATTAAAATGAAATTTGCACTCTTCCTCTTTATTTTGATACCAAACGGCATGCTAGAAGCCAACTATGGTGTTGTTTGGATCAAAATCATAGTTTTATAGGCCTAAGTGTACTATATGCTCTTTCCAAAAGCAGTCTTCGATGATCTGATGCACTGGGAGTTCGGCAGCACTTTTCAAATTAGGTAAACTTGACTCCTCAAAAGTGCAAAAAGCTTAGCTTCTTATATCACAAGATAATCACTTGGGGATTGTTACAATTTTGAAAATTCGCGGAGGTCAAAGCCGTCATTTGCGGGAATTCGCGGGACATTGCGGGACACGCGAATAAGCCAAATTTTGGTCAAATTCGCGGGATAATCCCGCCATTCGCGGGACACTTGACAGCTCTGGGTAAAGTAAGTAGCATGAGGGGGGGGGGCGTTGCAGAATTTAACATGATGCAAACTCGACATTATAATTTATGCTGTAACATTTTGACTTCGCTGGAAAACAATAGGAATTATTTTTCTTGCCAATCAATCATGAATCACAATCAAAATTTCAGCATGTTCAGTCAGGCAATGGTCCAAATCAAGTTATAACATTATAATGATATTCAGCAAGAAGTCCGGTAGAAATATAGAATATTTAAACATCAAAGCTGAAAGTTAAAAGCTAATCTGTCAATTTTCTGTCTGCAAAAGAACGTTTACATTTGACACAATAAAAGACTGAGGCTTTGAAGTCTAGGATTTCCCAGGAAAATATAACGTCATATTAGTTAGCCTAAGGAATTACCTCGTGGTCTTGGTTGAGCTTCGTCCGAAAACACAATCCGTTAATACATGCTATAATTTCGAAGGAGATACAGTACGTGTAGTAAGTGTATAACGTGTTTATCGTTTATCGTGTTTATCAATGTTTAAGATTTAATCAAATATCAAATTGTTTAAGTGGATAAAGTGGTCGCACTTGCTTCAATTCATAGCGTAATCGACGGATAGAAACTGCACCGAATTCCCGATATCCTACCCCGTATTACTGTAGGCTATTAAGCACAGTGACCTGCAGAGGGCGCTATCACAAACAAGTACTGCACGAACCGATACATTCCCGGGTATTGTAACGCCCTTAGTCTGAGATGTAAAAAACAATCGATACACATACTTAGGGATAGTATTTTCAAAAAGGGTCAAGCCCGGATATATAGAGGATATTCTATGATTTTTGAGGGATACCATTTTAATCCATGAGTGGATATCGCTCATCTCCACGAGTGGGGCAGATATATTATATTTGCCTCGGGATAATCCCAATATCCTGAACCTCATATAGGATAATCTCTATATACTATTTTAAGCTTATTATTATAACCAATCTAATATTATAAAACAAGGGAAAAATAAAAGAAGGTTACGATATAACAATATGGCATCCTATTCATATTATCTGAGATCATCATAAACGTATATTATTTTATCACCTTAGAGTCGACTTGTATACATTATATAGTACTTTGAAAATGTAATGTTATTTCTGCTTAAAGTTGTAACATCGCCGTAATAGTACTGTACTTTCAATTTGTGTACGACATGCGCTACAACCCCGTGCCAATCTGTACGCTGTCTGTCAATCATGCTGAACGCAGAAACCGTTTTCAGTGCGTATTTCGTCGTTTAAATAAAATATAACCCTGTGAGGACAGCATTGATTTGGCTCATTGAAAACAGGAATGTCGTTTTGACGTCGGAGTCATGAGCTGTGTACTCAGGGCATTTGGGCATTAAGAGCCGGATAAAACCAAATCAATTTAACCAAGTACGAAAACTCATGTAATAATTTTGTATAATTTATTCAGAGTTAACAATACATTTTAGTAATTATATTAACGAAAGCTGTAAACACTGGATGTAAACAATTTTCGTAAACTTTAAATCATGAGGCAGTCAGTAGTATATCTAGCAGACAAAAACTGGAGGAGAAAAAAACATGTTGTAGTGCGCTATTAACGTATCTGGTCCGGGACCAAGTATAGGGGTATATATGATATTTCCCTCTTCGTGAACAGGTATGTTATGAGTTGGATTTTATAGTCTACTGTGAGTGGCAAACTTTGTCTACCATCGGTTTTTAAATTCATAAAACAGATTGTCTTATTGAGAGATTGAATGTTTACACTAAGTTAAGCTGACTTTCATTTGGATTCCCTTGAGAATGTATACAGAAATATTTCAAGTTTTCATCTTGGGTGTTTACTCGGCATACACCTGAACATACACTTGACAGTTCATAATTTTATACAGAGTGGGCCATTTAAATGAGAAACTGTATTATTCTGATAAATATTTGACATCACAAGATGAACCACAAGCAACATATCAATCAAAATTAAGATAGGGAATTAAATGGGCTTCAATATATTTACAAATAAATTCTCTACAATTTCAATAGCTGTTTTGGCATTCATACGTCGCACGTCACTTGTCTAATGTTAAGCAAGGATAATGAAAACATGCATCATTTAACTTAAAATTGAAACTCACATCCACCAATTTTTATACCTTATACCAGATACATCATATTAAACATCTCTGCTTATACTCGTCTATTTTTTGGCATTTGGTTCATATATGCACCGAGACTCTTTACAAATCATGTCTTGTCCTTTTTGGGTATATCTATAAGTAATGCTTAGTATTAAAACACAAGTTTAAAGGCCTTGTTCATGACTGTGCATGCTTTAAATGTCGTTCACCTGCTAGAGCTGCAAACAATAGTAGTCAGGTATTGAAGGTAGCAATATTGTATCATATAGACGATATATTGATATTGTAATGTATCGTGCATTTATAATTATAGTGATTTCATGAACATGATAGTTATCGTCCAGCCAGAGGGACTTTAAATGCCCAAAAGGGCCAAATACAGGTCGGTGTAATTAGAATCTGATGTGGAAGGGAGAGATGTCCCCAGGAATAATTGTCCCTTGCTAGCTCAGTTCTATTAAGTATATATTCTCTAGTCCTGGCCTTGGTTGTTAAACCCAACTTCAATGTTAAATCTGCGATCCTTCTCAATTACTTTTGCGTGTAATGCCATAACCTTGAAAGGGGATAAAACATCTAATCCAGTTTTATTTAACATGTTTAACAAAATAATTTTTGTTATATTCTTTATATCCAAGTTATTCCCCTATTTGAAGTCATACAGCTAATCTCGTATTCAAACACATGAAGTAAGGGACTTTGCAAACAAGACTTGTTTCAGTCAAACATTGGATTTGAAATCTATCTCTGGACTAATATTCAAATTGATATTTCTTCGACCTAGTCAAAACCCAGCAACAATCATGTGCATAAGATTTTTAAGACATCTCGCATATTTTTTTTATTTCGCTGACTTAGTTCATAGTTACATTTATAATTATTCCTCCTTGAAATTGAGATACAAAAAAACGAACAAACGAACGAACGAACAAAAACAAACAAACATACAAATGACGATGCTAAATAGCACTTGTTCTATTATCCACAACTCAAAATCAGTTCAAATGTTATGAAAATATTCCCTTTCTTTTTTGACTGCAGTTTCCTCAAAATACACCTTATAAGGAAAATATACTTATAACGACTTGACCAAGGTCTCTTTATAGGCCACTTCACCTTATAACACACGAACAAACAAGTGCACTTGATTCCTCAATCCGTTTGGATCATTCTCCATTGCAGTTTAAAATATCGGAAGGTTATAGCCAATACGTCATCAACGTACCTGTGTTTGGAGAAAGCAAGTTGTATTTTTAATGGAGAAAAAGTAGTTGAAGTTTTATGTTTGCTGATGGATTGGTAATGTTGGTTTTAAACATTTAACAGGTTTACAGGTAGGGTACGATAGATAAATACAGGATGGGTGAAAATGTTAATGGCGATACTGTTTTCACACTTTAAGTGATTGTCATAAATAGTTTCTGATCCCCTCGATTATTTCGATTCATCAGGTATTTTAGGACAATATTTTCACTATTTGGCGATCATATTTCGAAGATAAAGGACCAATGTAAGCTTTGATTTTATTTCACAAGACAAAAAGGAAGACACTAATTATTATTTAGTAAAACAATGTGCTCACTCCCCCTCTTTCAAAACAATCTTAAAAGGGAGTGTCTGTGTTCTGTTCCTCAATAGCCCCAAATTTTGAATTCATATTGAATTGCACCAGCCATAGACCTTAGAATATATAGCATCATACACACCCTTTCATGCACACCCTTTTTTGATGCACAATTTTTGATCAGGATTAAAATATACTGCGGATGCCCTCCAATCCTAGAAAACATTGATAAAACGTATTGAACATCATTTAATTATACTGTGCATGTCTGTGTACATTATATGTGGTTTCTATGGTGTCTGGACGCTACATATGTATAGATAATCCATAGATTTTCTCAACCACCCATACACTTTTTACATTCTTTATGGATTTATTTACATCTGAAATTCTTTCCATCTTGACAAATCTGAAAATGACAACTTATAAATGTGGTAAACGTGTGCTAAATGCGTCTTTTCTATTTAGTCTTTACCATCAATTTCATAAACAATATTGATCTCAATGAGGTTTACCAATGTTCACGTTGACATTACTTGAATTTTGCTCGCAAAATTTCATTCAATGAAAGCAAGAATTAAATTATATTACGACTTGATGAAAATCATTAAGCGACACATGCCCACGAGATATGCACACGCGTTGTTCATAGTTTTTCTTAATTACATGCCTCATTATAAATAATAATATATGCAGATGGCAGTGTGATTCGTATTGCTTCTTTTGTTGCCCTTGTTCTACGAACATTGCCATGGTAACTGACTCCGACTACTTGTTAAGATATTATTTGTTGCACAACTCTTAGCAATAACTGCAAAAACAAAGCAAATATGATGTCATAGAAAATATAGTATGTCTACTTGCTCCAACCTTGATCAACCAACAGCAATAATAAAATAAATACAAACATGTCGGTACATTTAAGGATAGGATGATTTGAATACAAGTAAATAATTAATCAGTCGAGTAACAGGTGATCGTGACATTACAAAGAACGGAAACAACAGCATATTTGAACTCCTTTACAACATGGCAAGATGGCAGGATGATGGATAATTGAATATCGGACAGATGAAATTGTGCCAAGATTAAAACATACAGAAAAACTTGTCTAATCCTGACATCTGGGACTGGTCAAAAGTGTTCGGATAAGCAGGTGTTTATATTTCAAGATTTTATAAACATTTAAATCAATGGGAAATTTTGGGACAGAGAAATTATAGTGTTCACCTGGAGAGGTGTTCGGATAAGGCATGTGTTCGGATTAGACATGTGTTCGGATATACCGGTTTCACTGTATTTCATACTTGACTGATGATGATATACTTTGTATTAAAGAGAGAATCAGATATAGCGAGCAGGCTAAACAAAAAATTGTTTCAATTTTAGTATATTTTTGGCTCATGTCATTCCTTGTCATGTCTATTTTCTAAAAATCACAAAAGTGCATACTTTATTCCAGGAAAACCAAAGATTTTTACAATAATGTATCATTTTTCTATAAGAATGGTTACCATTCTTATTATTTGGGAGAATTTAAACATTTTCACCCATTTTTGCACTTTGAATCATGAATAACTTCACCAATTTACAACATATTGTGAATATTTTGGGAGATATTGTATTTGATATTGTAAGGAATAGATTGGTAGGTCAATTCTACATGTTGCTAGTAATTTTGTCACCCCCTATAGATCAGATTCTGCCTTTAATTAACACATTATATTGAACACACGACGTCTCTAAAAGCATAGGCTATACACGTATGTGTTATGATACGGGGATCAAGGGAATGTAATGATATTTCATTATTCTTCCTATTGGGGGGCATATCTTTATATCATATATGGTATATAGACTCGTGGCTTACCCTACGCCACAGAAAAATTCGCGAAAGCAGATGGCTCTGATGATGGGCACTCGTGACTCCTTACTTGCGCCCCCGCTTGCGCCCTTTTTAAAACACCATAAACACAAATAATATGAACGATTAATCTTGGTTAATGGCCAACCTTTTTATTCAACCTCGTTTTAATAATTTGAAACCATAAACCCATCACAATTACGATGTGATATATTGAATATGATGATTAAAAAAGATATCTTCAGAAACCATCTGTATGAACCATATTGCCTGATTAATGACCCGTAAAGAGAACGACAGGGATATAAAACGCCGAGCGTACTAAATCATATATAGCTTGTTAATCAGACAAGATAAAAGACGTACACATTTATACTGTGATAAAGGACAAATGCGGTCATCATAATGCAAGCATATTTGTTGTACAATCCGTTGGAGGTAATCCTCTGGCAACGTTTTTTGAACAATTATCACCTCGGGTCTATTTCAAATAGGCTCGACCATAAACATATTATACAACTTTAGCAAAGCTCAGAGGAAGTCACTGGATATGAAACTTGAAAGACATTGAAATATACACCGTGTAACACAGTGTTCGCAAAATGGATGTGATTTGAATAAATAAATGTGAATTACCTTTTTCAGGATTCAATGACACCATAAGCAGAGAGATGGCAGTTAAATCAACACTTCTTTACATATTGGGCATGTTGTGGACAGTAGGGCCGGAAGTTTTTGCACAGAGTTCCAAATGTTCACCACCAGCGCCACCTGGTGGAATCCGCGAAGGAGGATGGGCGATTGCTCTCATGGTACTGGCTGCGCTTGGTATTTTAATCGTAGTCATATTTGAGATCTACCTCATGGTGAATATTGCTAGATCTGGACAATGGAAGTCAATATGGCTCGGACAGACCCTTCTCCTGGGTATTTTTCTGTGTTATTTACTGTGTTTCGCATTTGTTCCTGTGCCTACAAGATCTTCCTGCCAATTGATTCAGTCTAGCACAGGTGTTGTGTACGCAATGTGCTTTTCGGTGCTATTTGTTAAACTATTGGTACTTCTAGGCTCGAAGGAAAAAGAGCTCAAAATATCACATGACCATGACGGACCTGATGTCGATGTGGGTAATTTAAAGGATTTTAAATCTCACGATGAGGCAACCCAGTATAAACTTCCTGGACTATTCCAAGTAGTCCTGTTTTTATTTTCCTGGGGAATACAGATTGTGATTGATGTTGAATGGGTCGTGCTCAGGCCAGGGCATAGCAAGCAAAATCGATCTGGAGATGGAAACTGGTACTGTGTTTTAATGGATGATACGTCAGGGGATGACCCAAATTGCCCTGGCGTAATGTCAGATTCATGGAAAACATATTTCATAAACCATATCATATCATTAGTTTATATCATGCTCCTCATTGTAATTTGTGTCTTGCTAGCTTTGCGATGTCGACGCATTGCTGCAAATTTCCACGAAGCAGTCTATATAGGACTTGCATCCGGCTTGTGCATACCTGTGTGGATTGTATGGATCTTAATTGGAGCACTCTCTCCGGGGCATTCATTCCATGCCCCGGCAACTGGATTTGGACTATGGGTCACTGCAACGGTCCTGTTATTTGCTATGTTCTTACCTAAGGTAAAACAGTTGAACTCAATGAGAAAAAACACCAAGAAATCAATTGGTAAAGATCACGTCGACAATGCAATTGTGAAAAATAACAACCACGTCAGCGCTGATAATGTTAGCATTGTGTATACTGTTCCCCAGAAGCAAATATATGGGGATAGCGTCAGTCTAGTGCTCGCTAAACCTGAATACAGGACACGTAGTAGGCCACACTCTGTGGTTAATGGCGCTGTGGTACGCTCACACGATGCCAATAATGTTACTTATGTCAACCATGCATTCAATCCAGATGACTTCAAACCACGATCGGCATCTGTGATATACGAAGAATCTCCGGAGAAAGCCGAGTCAATCATTTATGAACAACACGTCGAAAGCGATCCAAGTAAGTAAACTATTTCGTGGCGTACAGTGTTAGTGTACAAGTGGATAGTGTTCGACGTGTTCCATTAAAATAATCCACATAAAGAGATGAATTTATTTGAACACTACTTGACATGAGTTTAAAACATTGTATTGTGTGTTGTGCATATATACGACTGACATGCTGGATATAGCACATTTTCAAAAAGAACGCAATCGAATGTACGCACACGATCAAAAACCATTCAGCATATGAATTGATAGAGGTGAATATCAAAAATATGCTTTTTAGTAATCCGTTTTTGTCACGGAAGTTTCTTTTATATATGCCTAGTTTTAATGTTAATGTAACCGTTACTTAATCAAAAGTACAAAAAAATGGCAGCCATATATTTTTGACTAAGTCACATGATTTTGTATTCTGTTTTCCTTATATGTGAATGCATTTCCTGACTAAAGAGACATGTCAAAGAAAACTTCACTTTTAAACGTATTTTTTATAACTATGAATTGGAGGTGCATGGTTCCCCAAAGCCAACATAAGACCGTGAAATGAGGCTAATTTTTGAAAGTTTGAAGGAGTAGCCTTGCAACAGTCAAACATTTGCAAGAATCCAAAATTTCCACAAATCATCTTACCTTACCAAGGAACATCGAGGGAGCATGTAAATGTGCTCTTCTTGCATTGTTAGAGTATGATAAAGCTCAAACCATAGTTTCTGATAAATATTTCACGTCCACCATTTTTCTTGCCGGAACTACTTCTAGACTTCTTGTAATCCTCATATAAGTTTTTGTGACTTCACCAAGTGGCATGGATTATCACTAGTATACTTTATATATAACAGTATAATAATTATGATAGATACATAATTGATGTTTTTTAAATGTAAACAATGGATACATGAGTGAGGATTATTTTGGACTAGAAAATACTCCCAGCAAACAAAATGGTTGACATGAAATATTTAGAATTTACTTTGGTTTGAGCTTTATTATACTCTAACAATGCATGAAGTACACATTTTAATGCTCCTTCAGTGTTCCTTGGTAAGGTAAGATGATTTGTGGAAATTTTGGAGTCTTACAAATGTGTCTCCATTGCAATCCTACTCCTTGAAATTTTAAAAAGTTATCCTCACTTCACTGTCTCCATGCTAGCTTTAGGGACCCATGCACCTTCAATTCATCGTTTAAAAAATGCGTTTAAATGTGAAGCTTTCTTTGACACGTCTCTTTAGTCAGGAAATGCATTCACATATAAGGAAAACAGAAAACAAAATCTTGTGACTTAGTCAAAAAAATATGCCTGCTATTTTTTTGTACTTTTGATTAACTTAAGCGTTACCTTAAAGTTCTATTCAGCATCGTTTACTTATATTGATTCTGGGGTGATATTAAACAACATATGAAAACCGTATAATCATATAAACTATGAACATTCTATTTTTTATCAACCGTCATTGCAGGGTTAGTATATTGACTAGCTTACCCGAGCTGACTTCCACGTTTTGATAGTATCTACAAGCTACATTGATTTATGGATAAAACTACTTGCATTTCAACACATATTTTTGAAGTTTTATGTGCAATTGAATCAAAACGAGATAAGCTCATCATTTTTCAAAAAACACATTTGACGGTTATAACATATATTACCTTTGAAAGTTGCTCGACCATTTCGATACAATTCAGGTTTATTGTGTTTTCATTTCCATTTTGTTGATTTTAAGTCAAAGGTTAAAATATCAAGGTCTTGCTACTAGTTTTTGTATGAACTCAGTTGAACTATGTTCGATTTTTCTGCATCTGGCTCAAAAATAGACTTTATCGTTTCGTGTTTGTACATGGTTTGATTAAAATACATTCTTTTGGGCCTCGATGGAACAAAAATATTAGGTTTTGATGCTATGGAGATAATATTTTGAGTATAAAGAGGTATAAGAGTCCTTTAAAGATCGAGATCACTCTCGTTTTATATTTCATATATTTAAAGGGCAATAAAGATACTCAAACAAAACCAAAAAAGCCACAGGCTTTTCAAGTTAATGATAGGCTGTGTAATATGTTCGTCGAGGTGAACTAAATATATTACAATACATCATGTGTAATTGTTACATAACTGCTCAAAACAATGTGATACATGGTAAATTTCCAAAATATAATGATTTTTTGGCATTGAGTTAAAGGATTAGGTGTGTATTCCTGTTTATGTTAATAGTTCAATTCTTTTATCATCGTGTGAGTTGAGTAAGCTTATTGTGTCATATTATAAAACATTTCACTGTTGCGGACTTTACCATCGAGATGCTCTTTTTGAAAACAAAACGTTTGCTTCCCTTCTGCTATATAGTTCTAGAATTTTCACCAATTTGTTTCCAGATGCACTTTATGTGCGACATCCGGGTAGTTTACGTGACCTGCGATCAATAGACAGGACACCACAGCCCACATTGGTGCGTACGACTCGCCCCACGAGCGGGGCGTACTCCAACACGCGTTTGCACTACGTGCACTATAACAATAGACGCCCTCCATCGAGGCCACAGTCTGAGGTTGCGTACCCCGTTAGTAGCAGACCCAAGCACGCCTACATTCACAGGAACGGCTCTGCCTGTAAGTTTAACCATAATAAGTATCAACAATTAAAATCAATTTCTTTTGAAGATTTGCATCATACAGCTGATTGCCTCATGTTTGAAGATCACTGCACCCTAGTGCACAGCCCCAAAAGAATTGACTTACGTAAATTGATGAATGAGCTATTCCTGGGAGCTACTTAAAATTGAAGCTTTCTATTTGAATGTGCACTAGACTGATTCTGAGTTATAATTTAAATTCCCTACAATTAAATCATATCATCATATACTAAACATCTTTCCATACGTGCTTACTCTTCTTGGATCTATTGTACACTGTATGATATGTTATTTCGCACTGTTTCTGTGTTGGATACTTTTGATCGGCTAAGCCTAAGCTTTGGTGGAGCAAATTATTGCAAGATAGGACATTTTAATATATATTATTTAGTAGAATATATTCTACACCACTGCCCAGACACCAATGGTCTTGGAATATGCCTGAGACAACATCTTAAGTTTAAAACAATTTATACAAAGACAACTGTCAAAAGCTGCAAAATCAGACGATTACTTTTCTAATCATTTTTTCTCAAAATTTACTTCCAAGTCTGCACAATGGTGTTTGTGTGGTATAATAAAAGTTTAATGCACGAAATTGAGCCGATGTTCCATTCGTTATAATATTACGGACATCCTTATCTATGGCTGTGCATTGGACTGCTTCTACCCTGTATGTTGTTTAGTCTTGTATCAACTCGTAATTTTATTCCCCGAACACACGAACTCTAGACGGAAGAAACAGATTGTGTGGATGTCTTGAACCCTGCGTTCGGAGGTTAATTCCCAGGTTAATTATTCCTATCAAGTAGATCGGACGTTTCTGTTCTTTCCAAAACACAACAAGGTGTATATGTACCTGTCCTGTAGGGTGGCTGGGGAGTTGGAGAGAACGACAGCAGGGTTATGGAGGGTCGTGGGATGTCATATGAAGAGTTGATACAAGATTAAGTGTTGTATATAGTTGCTTTTACCCTGCTTTTCAGCCCGCACCTCTCTACATGATATTTCACGTGTTTAAGAGTCCTGCTCTCTATTTGGGGACTTTCTCACCTGGCTAAAAGGTATATGTTTCAGTGGGAAATGCCGTAATTTCACACACTTTCTATATTATAACACGTACAAAGAATCATTCTTGAATCCATTGCACAACCTGATTGACCATTGCGATCACATGGCATTTGATAAAATTGCTTTAACTTTAAATAACATCAGGCCAAACCGAAAGGTAAGTAATGACATGTAGTCGTACCATAGAACCATTGCGCGGGATCAGCTTTGACGAGTATTGGGCTCCCAAGTTGACTGCGTAACTCGGCCTGAGGTTATAAAAACCAAACGTTCTGTCGAAATTATTTTGCAATATATGTGAATGTTGACGATCTAGCGTCAACACATAAGTTTAAAATCATAAAATCGGTAGAATTTTATCAAAATTGTTGTGAATCATATATGTCAATATTAAATTACCTGGAGAAATTGAAAACGATTTTTTGCATCTGCTTGCCTGTGTAGGCCTACTTTAAATTAAATTGACTGAGATTGAACGCTTAACCAAAATGCAACCACTGAAATACAAAAACGAAGAGGTTACAACAACCTGGCCAATTCTTAAAATACATAAAAGTAACAAGTTTACAAATATGTTTCAGTCTTCATGTTTCGCTTATTCATTTGCTACCTGAATGCGGGAGCATTGAGAGCTTATATTTAAAGACTTCAATAGAAACTTCTGTTCTATTTTGTTTTGCACCTTAAAGAATATCGTTCTCGATATTATCTCGTAAATCTCGGGCCGTTGTAAAGACCTTTCACTTTTTGGCATGAATAAGATCGATTTAAATGGTATAATCAGAATATGTAATTATAAAAGATAGGTATCGATATGGTGAACTGAAGTTAACAATGTTTTCCTCTTAAACCAATTATTGAAAACATTCTGTAAGAAACACGGTCCATCATGCAATGTTGACTGATTGACAACAATATAATTTTCACAACTGTTTTTGTTAACATTTTTTGTTTTTTAGTGCAATTGTTTTTTGTTCCTTTCTACCAATTCTTGAGAATGAAATAAAATGTCTTTCCGAACCTTGTTGGAAGAAAATAGCATATACAACATTTTTTTAAACCTCTCAATATTATAGTTATACAAAGGAAATTTTGGTTGATTTAACAAAAAGTCTTCTATTCTATTTAATTAAATATTTTTGGTGTTAATATTGTACTGGTCAGTTCATGTACAAAATCTTTAATAAACACCCCAGTCTTCCAAAAAATCTATTTCAAGACTTGTTTGATATCAACATTAATGTCCATCATCATAACACAAGACAGATGCATTATTTTCATATCCCTAAATGCTCTAAACTTTCCCTTCGCTATCTAGGTCCTAATCTTTGGAATGCTATACCAGATGATATTAAAAAATGCTCCACCCTAAATATTTTCAAATCTTCATATAAAAAACTACTCATCTATCGATAATGTATAATACCAATATTATACTGTATTGTTGATTTTATACTGGTACCTGATTTTTTGTAACATTTCTACATTGTACATCCTTCAAGTAATTGTTAATACCATTTTATATACCTACCTGTAACATAATACATGTATAAGTGCTTTCTTTTATATGTAGTCTAGATGTCATTTTAAGAATTTCTGTTAAAGCGTAACATATACCCACTAGGGTGTCTAGCGGCTCGTTTTTATAGTGTATATTATATAAGAAGTATGAAATAAATAAATTGAATTGAATTATTCCAAAAATTAAAACAAATCCCCCCAAAAATATATAAAAATTAAGATAAACCTTTTATTTCATTAACAAGATACTTTTTTAAAATCAACCAAACTTTCCTTTGTACTATTACAATATTGAGAGACCTAAACACTTATGTCGTTTTGTTCCAATGAGGTTCGGATAGATGTTTCATTTCATTCCGAAATGTGATACCAAGAGCAAAATAAGTGTCTGATGTGTTTCCTAAAACAAAATAGAGAAAAGCATGTATATTTTTCAAAGTTCATTGTTACCATTCAAAAGATGACCATTAAATTGAAGATATGTAAAATTTTCAGAATTTTTTGATGACTGGTTTAAGAAAAAAGTTCACCATATCGATACCACTCCTTTGGTCTAATTCTGGTGATTGACCAGAAAGCAATTATCGGTGACTATTGTTTCACTTATAGACACCATGTATACTTATTACTTAAACTGGAAATGTATCACCAAATACATTATATATTTGGTAGCATGACGTGAGCATAACACTTTTTGCTTCCTCTTAGTCACCATATTTCACGGGTACCAACCGGACCAATTGTTAGTTTTTGTTACCCTGAGTTTACTCGGCTGTATCGGAGGTGTGAGCGGCTTAACCGAAGCCTAAAATTCTTGCGATATAGAGGTCTGGTTAGTACCTGTGAATCTGCTCATCAATTAAATAAACTCCTCCATTCGATAAAGCAAAAGTATATACAAAATGTGAAAAGGAAATCATTACATAACAAACCTCTGCAGGTCAAATGAACGATTAACAAGTAATGTTAAACCTAGAAATCATGCATTAATAAAATATACGAGTTATTTGAGCTTAATACATCAGTTAGAATAATAACTTAAGTCATTTACTTCAGACTAAAATGTTTTATTTTCGACGTTTCGCTAATCATCCAACTAGCTTTTTCTCAAGTTATTATTAATATATTACCAGAGTGATGAATTTACACAGAAATCAGTTAGAATGTTTTTACTTTTGCAGTGGGGAGCCAAAACTCTGGTCTAAACCTGATAGCAGGCTCTGGAGTCCGACATCACCATGGCTCGTCAACTAGTCTTCACAAGATCCCCAGACAAGGCACCCATCAGATGATCATACAAGACAAAAGACATACATTACCTCCTCATAGAAACAACACCCGTTACGTCATGAACGAACCAAACAAAATGCAACTGATCGAGAACTCTAATTATCACAGTATCGTTTAGTACAAAAATCCAGATATTCTCATAAAAGTTCATGAACCTGGGTATGGCCCATGGTCAATTCACAATACTGAATGCAGATGTAGGTCATCATGTTGAAATGTGTATTCTTGTTGCATCTGCAAAGCTACTACTCTCCATACATAAAATCTCAAATCCAGTGTTTCCTAAGTAATTATGGTGATCGGAATAATGAGATGGTCGCTCGGTTTCTTGCATGATATTTAGACATGGTGCTTAAAAAACAAATTAGCTTTTTTAGGTCAATAGGCCAAAATGGGCAGGGCAAATTTGAATTGAGGAAAATCCACAAAAATGATATGAATGTTTTTATTCGGATGTTAACAGTTATGGCAGACTACGGTTCAAAATAAGATCTAAATGATATGATGCATTTGTACGTTGATATTTCTCCAATGTTTGTGAAAGTTTGGAATTACATTAAACGTGATACAAGACAACGAATGGAATTCAATTTCCCATCTGGAAAAACTTTGGGCGAGAAATGAGTCATTGCAACTCGCCAATCTTGGGATGCCATTATCATATTAACGCATTTACACATATATTTATTTACTATCTACATTAAAGTTAACATCTTTAGTTTAACTGCCAATGCATAATACTCTGAAAAATGTATACCTCCTATCCAACCATACATGTATGTGTATTATTAAAGCCCCCATGATATCATGTGCCACACAGTACGATGGCTTTACAAGGGGGGCTATCCTCTCTTGAATATTAAATATGATGAAGGGAAGGATTATAATATGAAGTGTATTCTCATTTTCAACTTCCAAGGTGTTCTGAAGTTGGAGCAATTGAAATCTCATGAATCAAGATGGTGTAAAATACTATATTTTTGGAGCTGCTTTTTGAAGATATGTGCATAAACGCCTCGTATAAATCCAGCTTATACATGTACATGATATTAGCACTTGATGTAGTTATATAAACCACAACATACTTCATATAAATAGGCCTATAATATTACTATTCTTAGTATATGAGAGGAATTTTTAGTGATAATCTGCCAGTATGATATTTACAATGTACTTACTAACTGAACTATTTTATAGTCATCAGTGCGCTTCGTGATCTTTTTCATAATCTACAATTCCATATAATTATAAAAGTTGAAGCAGAGCAGAGTCAATATTTGTAATATCTTTTTGAAAAGTGTGTCATTATTGCGCCTTTACAATCCTCATTTGCAAGATATCTTTTCCAATATAAATAAGGATGAAGGTATGTCCAAATTGATTAGATCTTTGTTTCCCCTTTGCATGTACATGTACATTTTCCATTACAATTTAACAGCTTTAGGTTGTCTCCATATGAATAGAATCTCATTTATTCGGTGATGTCTAAAATACAGGGTGACCAAAAAAAATGCAACCCTCCATTTCTTCAATATTTTTCTCAAATGGAGATTAATTGCTCTGAAATTTGGCACACAAGGACTTCATTCAATGTGGGATCCTCTGGCAAAGTTTCAATAATCATAGTCTTATATTGATAGAGTTATGGTCGTTCCAAAATATGCTCCAAATGTCGTCCATTTCCAATGTTAGGTTTTCGGATGAATCACATTCCCTTCTTTCTGAACATGTAAACTGAAGAAATAATGTGTTCTGGGATCACAAATTCCAGATGAAGTGCTTCAAAGGCCCCTTCATTCTGTTAAATGAACAGCTTGGGCTGCCAATTTCCAAACATGAAATCATCAGCCCCTTTTGGTTTGAGGTTGATAATTGCAACACTGATACTGTTAACACACAGCACAATAGTGGCGTTCCCAAGAAGTTCTAGGCAGTTCTAGAGTGTCATAGAGGCTTCAATAGACAAGAACAGTGGTTCTAAAAGGATGGAGCTACTCCTCACACTTCTAATGATAGCATAGCCTGGCTCACTAGTCATTTCTATGAGAAGATTATCTCTCCTAGGATGGAGAACCCATGGTCATCCCACAGTCTTGATCTCAATGCCCCTGACTTCTATATATAGGGTTATTTAAAGGATAGTGTGTATAAAAATAACCCTCCAGCAATTGCAGAACTCCAACAAGCAATGGCTGCAAAAACTTGAGCCATACCCATGGGGAAGAATGCATCTGTGTTATGAACAGTTTTCCTTGAACATTGCAAGTTTGTTTCAGCGAAATTGACGACATCTGGAGCATATTTTGAAACAACCATAACTCTATCAATATAAGACTGTGATTATTAAAACTTTGCCAGAGGATCCCACATTGAATGAAGTCCTTGTGTGTCAAATCTCGGAGCAATCTATTTCCATTTAAGAAAAATATTGAAGAAATGGAGGGTTGCATTTTTTTTGGGTCACCCTGTACAAGGTGGGCAAAAATAGAGATCTTGAATAAAAATATATTCAAACATTTTCTTTTGTCTCAGCATGATGTTCATTTTGACACCATGATTGCAAGTTACACATTTTTGGACCACCCTGTATTACTGTTTCTATTTATGTACATGGATGTTTATATTATATAATAACAATATAATAATATTGAATGTTTAGTGTAACAAACATTTATTTCTTAGGTATTAGTACTGTACTTATACAATTATATATACAAAATATAATATTAATTTGTAATTATGTAAAATTATTATATGTTACATTTTTATGAATGGGTTATATTTTTACAAAAATAAGAAAAATGTTGAGAAAGGGTAAAAGTGTTAATACATAAATATGCACTCATGCCTCTTGTCATCCCCATCCCCATCCCCATCCCCTCTCCGATACAGAAAAATCAAGGGGCAGAGTTGATACATAGAACATATAATAATTGACCTATTCAAAGGTCAACGCGAAACAGGGAATAAAGTATGCTTTTTAAGTCTTGCTTCAAGCCCCTGTGAGATCCCACAGACCTGCATCATTTCCTCAGAGGTTGATACAAGACAAATAACTATTACAGTACATGACTTGTATATAAAGAAAGGCTTACACTCTCTCAGGTTCTTTGCTATAGGCAAATCATTAAAATGATATTGGTCTGTGATCTCATTCTTTGTTTGAACCAAATCTGATAACTGGTATTTAAGTTATCAAAAATTACATTTTTTATGAAAAACAGAGGCCATTTTAAATTCAGTGGCGATCTTGGAAACTGCTTTAAAGGCAGAATCAGATCTGTAGGGGTGACAAAAGTACAAGCAACATGTTCAATTGACCTACCAATCTATTCCTTACAATCTCAAACACAATATCTCCCAAAATATTCACGACACGTTATAAATTGATTAAGTTATCATGGATTCAAAGTGCAAAAATGCAAGAAAAATGTTTAAATTCTCCAAAATAATACATTATTGTAAAGATCTTTAGTTTTCCTGATATAAAGTGTGCACTTGTTTTAGAAAATAGACATGACAAGGAATGACATGAGCCAGAAATATTCTAAGATTGAAACAATTTTTTGTTGGCTTGCTTGCTAGATCTGATTCTCTCTTTAAAAACATAATGTGTGAGGTTCTATATCCATCCACCAAAAGGTATGACCTCTATATAGTCCATTTAAAAACCTGTGGTTTTGTTCTAAATAACGCCATAGTTGGCTTCTAGGGTACCTAGTATGCCATTATTTGGTATCAAAATAAAGAGGTTGAGTTCAACTTTCATTTTAACTACGAAAATAGCGATGTAGGTCAAAATAGTTCCAACGTATCTCAAAAAGTAACCCGACTCCTTATAATTTGATGTAGATCAATCGAACCCCTATATGAACAGGTACATTTTGATATATAACACTATGTGGGGTAAGCGTTTCATAGTTGGTCACGAATGCCATATGTGCAAAGTGGTGTTTAGAATGTTGGATTACGGTACTCACATCATAAGTCCTTGATCCTTCAGCAAATAAAATTTGTTCCAAATCTGTCTACTGGTATTTGAGTTATTCAAGATTACATTTCTTGTGGACATGTCTTTATGTACATGTAGTTATCTATTGTAATTGTATTTTGGTTACCGCCATATTTTAACAAGCAATACCTCATTATATTGCACTATAAGACATTGGCCTACAAAACTTGAATCAAATCTGGTAACTCCAGGTATTTACGTTATCAAATTACATTTTTCCATCCATGAAAATTGACAGCCATTTTGAATTCAGTTTCTATCTTGAAACTTGTTTTGAGCAGAGGTTTTACCTACCTATACACAGGGATATATGCCAAGTACTAAAATAGTACTCATGGCATTTTAGCACTAATTTCATTGATTTTTTGATTACTCAATGAGCACTCATACTATGAGCACTGATAAAGTGCATGTTTTAGTACTAAATGAGTACTCATATCATGAATTAGTACTAAATTAGCACTCGTGACATGAGTGCTCATGAGCGCACTTTTGCCAGAGTGCTAATTTAGTACTAATTTTGTACTATTTTAGTACTCACCATATCTCCCTGTGGTATTACAGAAAATGTATATTATAGAAATAAGATGTTTGTAAGACAGTATATAACTTAAACGATAATACAATACAAAGACTGAGTCTTAAACATGGGACTACAGTTCACATATTACATTACTCATAGATTTATTTTCTGTTAAATGGCACATTTCAAATGAGCATAAACATAAATTGTTCTCTCTTGTCCATATAATTCTAGAATCATTTCATCTTCAGATTCATAATAAAAAATGAATGTTAACTCAATTTCAGCCACCTTTACCCTAAATGATGCAGACATATGTCATCCTAAAAAATCAAATGTCCAAGATAAAATTATTTGTGACATAACTTGTTCATAAACAATATGGCATAGTAGATGATAATACACAGCAGCCAAATAAGGAAAACATTTTATTATTTGTACGGTCCTGAACTAGATTGTCCATTCTTGATTTGCTTTGATAATATTTCTTCAGCTCTTTGGAATAATGATAAAACCATGATTGTTCAAATTATAGATATCATTCATTATTAAACTTTATGTTATAATTACTTTCCTGATCTTCATACAATCTGTTAAGACATTTTAATTTTTCACCTTATTCTCTTCAATAATGGTTAATTTTCCAGTGATATGATTGGCCCATGTGACACAAATATACAATGTAGCTTGTATTTTTACATAGAATACCATATTTCACTCTGATACCATTGTAGTATCCATTTCATTGATGTCAAGTCATCATATTCTGTTAAAACTATTTTAAAGTATTGCATGTAGCATCATGAATTTAATTGTTAAATACAGACAATCTAAGACAGCACAACAGTTTCTGTATTCTTCTCAAATCATTGAATAAAAATATCAAAGGACTATTCTGAGATACAATTACACAATGTGCTTAATTAATAAATCAACCAAATGTTCAATTTTGCAATGGCTGGTTATAAGCAAACATTAACTGGCGTACAGGATATCACTTGATGTCTGGAAGTAGAGGGTCTTTTCTCCACATCTTGGAGGTAACTAAACATTAACTGGTGAACAGGATATCACTTGATGTCTGGAAGTAGAGGGTCTTTTCTCCACATATTGAAGGTAACTAAACATTAACTGGTGAACAGGATATCACTTGATGTCTGGAAGTAGAGGGTCTTTTCTCCACATCCTGGAGGTAACTAAACATTAACTGGTGAACAGGATATCACTTGATGTCTGGAAGTAGAGGGTCTTTTCTCCACATCTTGGAGGTAACTAAACATTAACTGGTGACCAGGATATCACTTGATGTCTGGAAGTAGAGGGTCTCCACATCCTGGAGGTAACTAAACATTAACTGGTGACCAGGATATCACTTGATGTCTGGAAGTAGAGGGTCTCCACATCCTGGAGGTAACTAAACATTAACTGGTGACCAGGATATCACTTGATGTCTGGAAGTAGAGGGTCTCCACATCCTGGAGGTAACTAAACATTAACTGGCGAACAGGATATCACTTGATGTCTGGAAGTAGAGGGTCTCCACATCTTGGAGGTAACTAAACTAGAGCTCTTTCTTTTGCTCTTGTTGTCTTGGTAAAACCTGCAAAACAGAAACTCAATTTTACATTTATACTCCAGAATTTAATAAAGTGTATAGACAGAGTATATGATAAAGCACAGATTTTTTCTCTATTTATAACAGGATATTCAAATTTCTACTTCTAACAGGATTTTCAATTAAATGAAAGTTTCAAGATGGGGGGAGCAGTGTGTAAGCTTATTAGGACAGACCGTTGGGTGTGGGGGGGCTCTAATCCATCTACTGTCTATCAAAATATGTATATTAAATTGTGTAAGTTGTTTCATATAAAAAAACACATCTTCTTTTGGTTTTAGGTAGAAATGGTAAGATGTCTCATACTCAATAAATTCAGTTTTAATCTTTTTTATGTACGGAGTTTGTTTCCCACAGAGCAAATTTATTTTACATTAGGATTTGTCTCTTTGGAGGTTGTCCTTCCACATACATAGTTAGTCATCCACTTATTTGTTATCATATTTGCTGGAATTACACCATGCGTTTTAGAAAGATGCCTAAGGTTTTAACCCAGTTTGAAAAATAGGTGTAATCACGATTGCGGATTTACAGACGCGCTTTTCCAAAATTGCTAGAACCCTAGTCGCTAAAAAATGCCTTAAATCGTTAGGACCCCAAAAATGCAATAGTTCATCAAATTATATCGCAAAAATTGAAAGTAAGTCCACATCACTGGCAAAAGTCTCGGTTACATTTCCTCTTAGATGCTAAAAGAATACATTTATTGTAGATGTACACATCTGCTCGATATCCTCCATATCTACATCGTTAAAAGTGCAAGAAAGGTGTTTTAGAAATGACAGGTGTAATTTCAAAATAAAATTCCTAAGGCGCTTTAGAAATGTTGGTGTAATCATGATGGCGATTTTGTAAAGCGTTTTCCACTAAAGCGCTTTTAGTGTTTTTCTGGTGTAACTCCACAATTGTTAAGGACTGAGCCATCATAGTTTAAGATCTATATTGAGCCAAAAGTCAGTGTTAATCAAAAATATAACTAAGTTCAGAGGCCTTGGTTAAATTATGGAAAGTTGTTTAGATCAATGCTTACTAGAATCTTGTTGGGACATGAAAAATCTTTTAAGGACTGTCAATAGATGGCGACAAAATTTTAGACACGAGAAGCAGAAAAGAATATAAAACCAAGGCATTTCTTGTAGTAAAACCACCTACACTATATGAACACATATGTCATAGATGATATAGGATGAGGATTGATTAATACCAATTTACAAATTGAATCTTGTCATTATCATAATTTGATACATTATCAATATCACCTGGGAAATCAATCTATTATTCATTGAGTTTGATACACTTAATAGCATTTAAGGAAGCTATAGTATAGTACAGCTATATTAAAAAATACAATTATTAGTCAAAAATATGATATATTAAATTATACTCCCAAGTCTCCAAAGAAATCAAAATGTTAAAATATAATTTTAGTGACAATGGTAATACAAAATCAGGGAGATTTGAAAGACATGATGGTTTGTTTAAGATCCTTGGGGACTTGAGTGATGTTGTATAGACTTCAATAAATGAGAAACAATCTATGAGCAACTGGAGATGATTTACATTAGTTTAATAGAATAAGTTTGATAACAAAAAGGCTTCCATATTAATTTAACATGTTATCAATTATAGTATTACTACAGTGTAGAGTTGGGCGAGGTGGAGTTACATCAGAGTGAAAATCATGTAAAGGTTGGCAATTGAGAGTTGAGAATGAGTTTAAATAGTTTGAATTGAGATGATCAACATTAAGCAAGCATAATGAAATCAGATGACAATCACAAAAACAATGATGATCAAGGGACAATATCTCACTATATGAGCCTATTAACTACTCATGGCTGCCAACAAATATATCAATCAAAGTCCAAGATTGTCAAAATGTGTTGGATAATTTTTGTTCTAGCGAGTGTTTGTGTAGCAAGTTATTTTGTATATGTGGCTATCAATAAGTACTACAAATACAGGACACACGAGGACACCTCCCTGAATGACACCTTTGTTGACTTTCCAGCTGTAACTGTGTGCAGACTGGATGATGATGGTTTCAGCAGACTCAAAACCCTTAATGTACCTAGAAAGGGTGACCAAGATCATATTGAACAAAATCTAGGGGTTATGAAGACAATTATAGATAGGGGCCCGAAGGATCTTGATCGACAAGCATTACCTCTTCTCAGTAATTATTTGCAAAGATTACTGGATCCCGAAAATGTTCTCCAAGCATTCCCTGTAATTGCGGGGTATTTGACTTATGATTATGAACGTTTTATTGTGTCATGCCAGTTCAAAGACCAGGATTGTAATAAAACACACTTTGTGGAAAAAATGAATGGTAAATATTTCAATTGTTTCACATTCAATCATTCTGAAATTATCAAGAAAGAAGGCCCAACATCAGGTCTTTCCTTGGTATTTTACTTGGACACGCTTCAAGAAAATGAACTTCTAGACATGTCAATGTTAGATTCATCTATGAGGTTTACTGATTCTGGAATTAAAGTGGCAATACATGAACCAAATACAATTCCAGACATGATAAATGATGGAGTGATTGTTGCCCCTGGTTACTCTACAAATATTGCCCTGAAGGAGTCCGTGTTTGAAAGGATGGAGTCTCCTTGGGGAGAATGTGACAAATCAAGAGTGATTATTACTGACATTGCAAATGAAGACACTGATATTGTATACAATCGGAAGACATGTATGAAGATCTGCCAGCAGAGATACATTCAAGGAAAATGTGGATGTCTGAACATAATGCTCCCAGTACCAAATGATTTGAAAAATGAGAAATACTGTTTTTACATTGACAAAGATAATATCCTTCAAAATTCAAACTGGACTCATGTTTTCCTAGAGGAACTGAAACGTATGGATTGTGAAAACAAGCACCTTTTGGATCTACCAGACTCCTATGTTGGCCAGTATAAATGTGACTGCCCCCTGTCTTGTAGTTACAAAACATATGATTCTCTAATTTCACAGGCAAACTGGCCACCTCAGAATGGAGTTCGCAGATTCATCAAAAAGTATATGAATGAACAACCTACTTTGTTAAATGGTACAGACATTTACAAGGCATATGAAGAGAATGATACATCTGGTGATTTGTACAACATGGTTCAGAACAACTTTTTAAGGTTAAATGTGTACCATAGATCCTTAACTGTTCAGACCACAACCCAAGTAACAGCATACACAGTTCAAGATTTGGTGTCTGAGGTTGGTGGTATAATTGGTATATGTGTTGGTATGTCTGTACTCAGTATATTGGAACTTTTCCAACTCATTGCAATTCTAGTTCACATCTTTAGGAAGAAAGCCAATCAAATGGGGGATGTACGAAGAAGTCCAACTGTTAACTACCGACCACCTGCTGTCAGTCTTTTACAAGAAAGATGAATACACACAAAATTACTGGGAGGAAGAACATAAAACTTAAAACTATGAATCCTATGACTATAGAAGCTTTACAAGGCCATGATTTAAATGTGTCCAACCATTTTAAATCACGACAAAAAATGCACATGAGAAATGGAACATCTTCATGGTCTGAAATGTCGTATTTTTACTTTACTAGGACTAAATGGTTATTCACTTTGGATCATGATGAGAAAATGCCCTACAGCCTAAAACATTACATAATGTCAGTATGAAAATGTTCAGTATTGAAAAATCTATTTGGTATGAACTGCATTCAACATAACAAAAATTGAAGTTATGCATCTAGCGATTTGTACAACATGGTCCAGAACAACTTTCTAAGGTTGAATGTGTATCATAGATCCTTTACTTTAATCCTTGATTTAGTAAGCTCAACAGATCACTCAATATGTACATAATGTTTATAGCCTCAGACACTGACTCACCAGAATATAGAATGACCTGCAAGCAAATGAACTTCTGTTTTAGATCTTGGTATGGGATTTCAGAATGAAACTGAGAATACAAGTCACAAAAACAGTGGTTATATACAGTAAAACCTGTCTTAGTGAACACCTCTCTCTAGTGAACAAATACTTTACTGATTTCTGGATATATATAACTTTTACTGACATATTGTATCATTACATGATTATCTGCCACAACTACTCACTTAAAGACTGACTAACTAAATCTACTCCTACATTTACAAAGTAATGTTAAAAAACTCCATATGCATATTGAAGGCATACAAGAGAGGCAGAATAATTTAAGTGTAATATCCAGACTATTCTAAATTGTTAAATGAGAGAGAATATAAATTTACCAACATGCCAGTTTATGATGGTATTGCCACTTGAAATTGTATTTAGACCACATTTTGGTAATGTTTCATAAATTTTGCTTAAAGAATAAATTACCCTCTATGTAGTGAACATCTACCAACACTGAACGTTTTTTATGAGCAAAAAATGTTCAATATAGACAGGTTTTACTGTATACAATGCAATAACAAAAATATGTTGCCACTTTTTGGTGGAAAAAACTACAACAATGATGTGAAATTTGCATAGAATTGTCTACTGTCTACTGTGTTTTCTTTCCAAAAGGTATATTGGGAAAACAAGACAAATGTTCAAAATGCAACTGAGAAATTTTCTTATATAAAATGTTACTTACATTGAACGTTTTACTCATCCCCAATACACAGTTTCTGTCTGTACTTGCCATGTAGACAAGAACATATTCTCCAGGATTTGTAATATAAGCTTTGTCTATAGTGATAGAACCATCAGACATTGCCCAATAATACGTCTCATAGTCCCCATAGTGTTGGAAGTCAGCCTATAGGGAGATAAACAATACAATAATACGTCTCATAGTCCCCATAGTATTGGAAGTCAGCCTATAGGGAGATAAACAATACAGTAATACGTCTCATAGTCCCCATAGTGTTGGAAGTCAGCCTATAGGGAGATAAACAATACAATAATACGTCTCATAGTCCCCATAGTGTTGGAAGTCAGCCTATAGGGAGATAAACAATACAGTAATACGTCTCATAGTCCCCATAGTGTTGGAAGTCAGCCTATAGGGAGATAAACAATACAATAATACGTCTCATAGTCCCCATAGTGTTGGAAGTCAGCCTATAGGGAGAAAAACAATACAGTAATACGTCTCATAGTCCCCATAGTGTTGGAAGTCAGCCTATAGGGAGATAAACAATACAGTAACCCGTCTCATAGTCCCCATAGTGTTGGGAGTCAGCCTATAGGGAGATAAACAATACAGTAATACGTCTCACAGTCCCCATAGTGTTGGAAGTCAGCCTATAGGGAGATAAACAATACAGTAATACGTCTCATAGTCCCCATAGTGTTGGAAGTCAGCCTATATGGAGATAAACAATACAGTAATACGTCTCATGGTCCCCATAGTGTTGGGAGTCAGCCTATAGGGAGATAAACAATACAGTAATACGTCTCATAGTCCCCATAGTGTTGGGAGTCAGCCTATAGGGAGATAAACAATACAGTAATACGTCTCATAGTCCCCATAGTGTTGGAAGTCAGCCTATAGGGAGATAAACAATACAGTAATACGTCTCATAGTCCCCATAGTGTTGGAAGTCAGCCTATAAACAATACAGTAATACGTCTCATAGTCCCCATAGTGTTGGGAGTCAGCCTACTAGACAGGGAGATAAAAAATACAGTAATACGTCTCATAATCCCCATAGTGTTGGAAGTCAGCCTACAGGGAGATAAACAATACAGTAATACGTCTCATAATCCCCATAGTGTTGGAAGTCAGCCTACAGGGAGATAAACAATACAGTAATATGTCTCATAGTCCCCATAGTGTTGGGAGTCAGCCTATAGGAAGATAAACAATATTGTTAGTACCTCAACTGAAATACTCGATTCTGATTGGTTGATTAGCTGTCAACAATATGCACTGTTGACCGCTACTAGATACTGTTGACCGCTACTTTTGAAAAAAAAGTTTTATGACGTCATACTATTGAAAACGTTGATGAAAGTGATATTTTGAGTTTACTAGACAGGTATAGCAAAAATGCAAATAAAAACGTAAAATCAACATTAATTTACTAATGAGTACGCCATGATGTGCCGAATATAGAGAGTTTAGCTACCACTGTCTTCAGATTTTCTTCAAAAATATTGCTGACGTACTGGTTCGGAGAAAAGATTATGAAATGAAGCCATGCCGATTGATATTAGATTGTATTATTAGTTTCTTTGGACTAACAAAACAATTGTAGACCTCTCCATTCGGTCAACCGTCAAAATCGTATACCTCGACTGTAAACCTTGAAACTACTGTTGACCTCGACCTTCGGTCTCTGTCAACAGTAGTTTCTCGGTTTACAGTTTCAGTATACAATTTTGCCGGTTGACCTCTGGAGAGGTCAACAATTGTATACAGTAATACGTCTCATAGTCCCCATAGTGTTGGAAGTCAGCCTACAGGGAGATAAACAATACAGTAATACGTCTCATAGTCCCCATAGTGTTGGGATTCTGCCTATAGGGAGATAAACAATACAGTAATACGTCTCATAGTCCCCATAGTGTTGGAAGTCAGCCTACAGGGAGATAAACAATACAGTAATATGTCTCATAGTCCCCATAGTGTTGGAAGTCAGCCTATAGGGAGATAAACAATACAGTAATACGTCTCATAGTCCCAATAGTGTTGGAAGTCAGCCTATAGGGAGATAAACAATACAGTAAAACCTGTATATAGCCGAACACATGTCAATGTGAACACTTTTTCAGTCCCATTTTTTAATCTGCCATAGATTTCCATGTTAAAAGCTCTGAATGTGAACACCTGTCAATCTGAACATCTTTGGTTGGTCCCAGTGATGTTTCAGATTAGACGTGTTTTACTGTACTTTTACATCTAATACTTCATACATTATTTGGATAATTGTAATATAAGGCATGAAATACATTTAGCACTTAGAAATGTGTATTGTTATTTATTCATCAAATTAGAATCTCATATAAACAAACAAATTTCTCTCAGAAAATTCTCGAAGAGTATTTCAAAGTATTGTTAAAAAAGACACATCAATTGGCAAATACAGAAGTATGCAAAGGTGCCAAAGGGGAAACACAGAATGATACAAGGCATTAACATGACAAAATGTCACCACCTAAAACAATTTGGTCAATTTAAAGCAAGTTGGAAAATACCTTTTGACCTTAAGAAGGTTTGATTTGAACTTCTTAGAACATGTAGATGATTTTGAAAAAAAAATTCGTCAATTTGAAGCAAGTTGAAAAAATACCTCTTTGACTTTTTTTGACATTGAGAAGGTCATTGAAGGTCAAATGTCAAATGTAAAGTCTGATTTGAACTTCTGAGAACATGTAGATGATTTTGAAAAAAAATTAAGTAAATTTGAAGCAAGTTGAAAAAAGACCTTTTTGACCTTGAAAAGGTCATTGAAGGTCAAATGTCAAATCTAAAGTCAGATTTGAACTTCTGAGAACATGTAGATGATTTTGAAAAAAAAAATTAGTCAATTTGAAGCAAGTTGAAAAAAGACCTTTTTGACCTTGAGAAGGTCATTGAAGGTCAAAGGTCAAATCTAAAGTCAGATTTGAACTTCTGAGAACTTGTAAAGTCAAATTTGAACTTCTGAAAAGATGTAGATGATTTTGAAAAAAGGAATTTGGTCAATTTGAAGCAAGTTGAAAACAGACCTTTTTGACCTTTTTTGACCTAGAGATTTGAATTTCTGAGAACATGTAGATGATTTTGAAAGAAAAATTTAGTCAATTTGAAGCAAGTTGAAAAAAGACCTTTTTGACCTTGAGAAGGTCATTGAAGGTCAAAGGTCAAATCTAAAGTCAGATTTGAACTTCTGAGAACTTGTAAAGTCAAATTTGAACTTCTGAAAAGATGTAGATGATTTTGAAAAAAGGAATTTGGTCAATTTGAAGCAAGTTGAAAAAAGACCTTTTTGACCTTTTTTGACTTTGAGAAGGTCATTGAAGGTCAAATGTCAAATCTAAAGTCAGATTTGAATTTCTGAGAACATGTAGATGATTTAAAAAAAAATTTAGTCAATTTGAAGCAAGTTGAAAAAAGACCTTTTTGACCTTTTTTGACTTTGAGAAGGTCATTGAAGGTCAAATGTCAAATCTTAAGTCAAATCTAAAGTCAGATTTGAATTTCTGAGAACACGTAGATGATTTTGAAATTTTTTTTAGTCAATTTGAAGCAAGTTGAAAACAGACCTTTTTGACCTTTTTTGACCTTGAAAAGGTCAAAAGTCAAATATTAAGTCAGATTTTAATTTCTGAGAACACGTAGATGATTTTGAAAAAAAAATTTAGTCAATTTGAAGCAAGTTGAAAACAGACCTTTTTGACCTTTTTTGACCTTGAGAAGGTCATTGAAGGTCAAATGTCAAATCTTAAGTCAGATTTGAAGGTCAAATGTCAAATCTATAGTCAAATCTAAAGTCAGATTTGAATTTCTGAGAACATGTAGATGATTTTGAAAAAAAATTTAGTCAATGTGAAGCAAGATGAAAAAAGACCTTTTTGACCTTGAGAAGGTCATTGAAGGTCAAATGTCAAATCTAAAGTCAGATTTGAACTTCTGAGAACATGTAGATGATTTAGAAAAAAATTGAAGTCAGTCTAAACAGTATTTGTTAAGTTATAGGAAGTTGTAAGAAATTGTTACAGACGCCGGACGCCAACCTCCAACCACCAACCGCCAACCACCAAACGCCAACCACCAACCGCTGTCGCAAAAAAACGGAGACCATAACAATATGTCACCACTTTTGGTGGTGACATAATTACAAAACTAAGTACCTATAGTATGCCAAAACAACTTGGAGTAAATAAATTATAAGGAAAGTTAGTTTGGGTTTCCCATTGTGATGTGAGCTGTCAACAATATTTCTCAATATTCATTCAATGACTTGTTGAATCTAGAATTACTTACCTTATATAAGCCAACCCAGTCCCATGAATTGAACTGATAAGTTGGTGATATGGTGTATTTACAGGTCCCATCTTCCCCAACTGTCCACCCTGTGATTGCTCAATATCCATTCAATGACTTGTTGAATCTTACTTACCTTATATAAGCCAACCCAGTCCCATGAATTGAACTGATAAGTTGGTGATATAGTGTATTTACAGGTCCCATCTTCCCCAACAGTAGTCCACCCTGTGATTGCTCAATATTCATTCAATGACTTGTTGAATCTTACTTACCTTATATAAGCCAACCCAGTCCCATGAATTGAACTGATAAGTTGGTGCTATAGTGTATTTACAGGTCCCATCTTCCCCAACTGTCCACCCTGTGATTGCTCAATATTCATTCAATGACTTGTTGAATCTAGAATTACTTACCTTATATAAGCCAACCCAGTCCCATGAATTGAACTGATAAGTTGGTGCTATGGTGTATTTACAGGTCCCATCTTCCCCAACTGTCCACCCTGTGATTGCTCAATATCCATTCAATGACTTGTTGAATCTTACTTACCTTATATAAGCCAACCCAGTCCCATGAATTGAACTGATAAGTTGGTGCTATGGTGTATTTACAGGTCCCATCTTCCCCAACTGTCCACCCTGTGATTGCTCAATATCCATTCAATGACTTGTTGAATCTTACTTACCTTATATAAGCCAACCCAGTCCCATGAATTGAACTGATAAGTTGGTGCTATAGTGTATTTACAGGTCCCATCTTCCCCAACTGTCCACCCTGTGATTGCTCAATATTCATTCAATGACTTGTTGAATCTAGAATTACTTACCTTATATAAGCCAACC